TTACACGCGGAATTACCTACGCTGTGTATGCTACATGCGTTTTCGTCTTCTAATATATGCATTGAAATATAGCGCGGCCAGTGTTACAAGAGTTGACTTTCATAATCTGAATTAGTCGCTTCAAATTTGGCTGCGTATAGTGGTATTTCTATGGCCGAAAATATTTTCTATGCCATATCACACATGTGGCATGCAGAAGAACCTAGAAAAATACCTGGTAAAATAAAATCTAATGTAACTCTAATTATATTTCATTTTCATTTAGTCAGGGAACAGCGTAAATAAATGATAAAATAACTGATTCAGTTTTCATGCAGCCCGGTGAACGATGATGGGAGTCAGACGTAGTTTGTAGAACTCGTTTCTCGCGCCTATGTAGTACCTTAAAAAATGTTAAACAAGTCACCCCACGACGGAGGAGACAGTACACTCGTTTCCAATGCTTAGTCAATTGAAACACCAATATATTCAATACTTAGTAAAAAATAAGGTTCGAAAGTGTATGTAACAGTATTAAAAATAAATTGGAATTATTTTCTAATCTGAATTGTAACGTTAATGTTTAGCACGGCACTTGAACCATAAGAAAACTGCTAATTACGCTAGAACTGTTATTTGCAGTAAGAGGGGCATGTTCATGGATGCTTCTAGAATATTCTGGAAGAATTGTTGAAAGGTGTTTTTGCAGGGAGTTTATTACTCTGTCTTTTCAGCATAACAAGTGTCTCTACGACCTCATTCATTATAATTAAATCTGAATTTGTAATGAAACTATTTTTATACGAGTATTTCTATCGACAATTTGTTTACGTAATTTTCTATTCCTGGGGATAAAAAAAACAGGCCCCTATATTTATGTCTAAAATTTATTTTTATTATGAACTTGCAGAGCGAGCAATAAAATATATTTAACATGAAAATTCCCGTCAGAGGTGCCAAGTAAATTTTAAATTATTGTACAACAACGCAATTTCCCAAGGACTGGATAACGTGATAATGGTTCCGGAGAGGAGAAAACTACGTTTTACAAAAAACCAACGCCATTTTAATATTTCGTTTTTACTTGTATACGTACGCTGATGTCATAAAGGCATTTGCCACCAGAAGGAGACCATAAAAATAAAGCATATTGCACAAACAAAACAAAAAATTGACATCCGCCTTCTGTGACAGAAGGTGCCAACAGTATACATTGAAAACTAATTTTTATGCTGTCCTAAATCTGTAATGGCGATCCTATGACATGCGAGTCATAGGGGACACGTGAACTCATTTTGTATAAAACGCATCAACAGAGAAAAAACTGCGTAATTCAAATATTTGTCTCTCGTAACAGCCAGAGTTAGGCGTCACTAGAGCAATATTAAAACCGGATGTAAATATGTACATCGGTGTTATGTAGCAAAAATACACACTAAAAACATCCAAGATACATTTTTGCAATGCTGAAATTAATATACAAAATTAAGAATCTGACTGTAAAGAAATTCAACTTAACTCATACCATTTTATTTTTACTCGAATGACAAAATGCTCAATTCTAGAAACGGCCTCGTTATTGTCAACTTCTGCCTAATTAATATTAAAATGAACAGCGGCTAGCAGCTGATGATTCTCCTCGGCTGCATGGAGAATTAACCTGCAATCGAAGAATTAGCTACACCAAACATTTCTAGTTATCGTAATATTCGATATTTGATTGATTATTAATTGAAATATTTAAAATAAATATCAAAAGTATAAATGTTTTACTATAATTTCAAATACCAAAAAATAATAAATATTCCAACAAGTGGTATCAGAGTTACGTTAGAGTATTGTAAAACACCAATCTTAGGTTCGCCACCACTGTTCTAGATGCTTAAATATTTCGCGGTTTCATCCGAGCGAATTCCCCCACTGTTTAGGAAATCCTCTACATACACTCTCTCTGTCTCTGTCTCTCTCTGTCTCTCTCTGTCTCTCTCTCTGTCTCTGTCTCTCTCTGTCTC